CCAACAAAGCATAGTAACAATCAACCGAAAGATTCATCTATGTTGACTGTGTATAGGCATAATTCCTAAAATAAGGCACAATTCTTAAAGCTTTTGTGTCCCTCCCTCTTCTGATCTCCCTACACCCCTTTCCAATGTATTTCAAGTCTGAACAAGGGGTGCTGTGAACTGAAGATTCCTCCTCCTTCTCATTTCTTACAATTGTGCCTTAGAGTGTTTGATTCATTCTTATGCTTTGCTGTTTATATTCACTATGGGCAAGAAAAGCAGAAGGAGGTGCTGTCTTTGTGTTAGTTTATTTACAGAAGCACCCGCACTTACACTATCCCCCACGTATTCATCCAACTATTAACCCCACCGACCTGTGTTTCTATTTTCTTAAAAGTTTTGAAGTGTAATCTCGCAGGTTTTATAGAGTTCCTCTTTCTCTTTATATGTATCCAAGCAAACCAAAGAAAACAACATTACTTTAAAATTTCATGCACAAGCTAGAAAAATATATTCATAATTAGGATCCCCAATTTATGGTCAAATGGAAATCGCTAGATATATCTTATTAAAATCCAGATGAGGGCTTTGAGATAGCCATTTAAACATGTGTAACTGTTTCAGTTTGGGGTAATTGCCCATATGCCAATGAATATTACTATTGCTTACAAGATGCCACAATGTATCTTGGTTCTCAGGGCATGATGGAAAGAGGGCCAGATTGGAAGTGAGAGAATCCCTGGTCAAATTCTGATTGCCTTTGACACCACTCTTGGGATTCTGCCTCAGTTTCCTCATCGATAAAATGAGAGGTTTGGACTAGATCACTTTTAAAGCCCCTTCTAGTGCCCAAGCTATAATCCTAAGATCTTTCCATATCCATAAGCACTATTCTCAATACATGTGCCTCCATGGTCATGTTTCTAGTTCCAATATGCGGTGATTCATCTTGCATACAAAGGCCTGATTTGTCCATTACTAAATTACTAGACGATCAGAGATTTGGTCTAAATCTCCTTGTATTTTTCTATTATTTTCTACTCTTTAAAATAGTTCTGAGTTTGGGTTGTGGTTCTTAGAGAATTCAGCCTGGCTATAAAGGAGGCCTTTTATTTATGCAAGGTTTTCTAGGATAGAAAGAAAGAGAGAAAATGATTAGAAACTTTTTACACTCCAGGAGGTAATGAGATTAGCTGAATATAGAGTCCTGCTGTGGCAGAACTAGTCTAGAAGCAAAGAAGAGCTTAGTGGGGCCTAAGAAATTTCAGTGCACAGTAAATCTACAGTCATCTTTATTCATACTAGAAGTTTTCTTTAAATAATTAAGGTGGACTTTTACTAAAATAACCAGAGGCTTGAGGAACCATCCCAAAGACAAACTATGAGTTCAATCAATGTCAAGGATTATTCATTTTAATTCTCCTTGCAACAGAGAAGACTCCACCTTCCAGAAAGGCAACTGTGAACTTTGGAAGGTGGTAACATATTCCAGTCTCCCTCCTTTTCTTTCCTCTTGTACCTCTCTCTTGGTCACTTTGCCATTCATTAGCACCTGCAACAGAGGAAGGAGAAGGAAGAGCTGAGGAGGTGGAATCCAGCAGTCTCCTTTGCTGTACTTGTTAACACATGTGGCAAAAGGGTTAGCAGAATTTGAAACTAATGGCTAAAACTAGATTTAAAAAAATTACCCCTGTGCCTTAGCTCTCTGTGTTATTCCCGCCATCATCACAGCCAATTAAGAGTTGGCCACATACACTGCATATGGTGTCAGATCTCTCTATGGCACCATTTTGTCTCTTGGATCTGGGTTTCTGCTTCCAAGGAGTATAGGAGCTTTAGAGTTGGTTAATATCCATGAGCTGAATGAACATTCATTGCAGCAGGGTTCTCAAATGTAGAAAGTGGGGTCTTGGCACATGGGCTTCATTTACCTCATCTCTATAGTGGGTAGGTAGAAGTAAATGATCCTTGATGTTTTCAGAGCCCTCTAGATGTTTATTGACTATTACAATATTCAGGGTCAGGCATAGAATAGTGGACAGGGAAATGGACTCAGAGTTAAGAAGACCTGGGCTCACATCCTGCCTCTGACACTTAATGTCTTTGTGACATTGGCCAAGTTATTTCTTATCTCTGTGCCTCAGTTTCCTCATCTATAAAATAAGGGGGTAGGACTGCATGGTTTGAAAGGTCCCTTCCAGCATTAATTTCTGATACCACAATCCTAAGGCATAAGACTAGAAAATGGTGAAGGAGTCACCCTGCAAAGTGGGATCAAATTTTCTAAAGCTGTACTGGAATTTCCCAGCAGGCTTCCCCTGGCCTTCTCCAGTTCTTGCTTCCTCCTGAGAAAGTCAAGGTTGCCTTAGCTGACATTTAAATAACACTGGTCATTTAAATAATGCCAGACATTTAGAGTCAAGTAAATGAAACTATGAGACAGCATCTCTCCTTTGGTTCTCACAAGAACAATATGCAATACTTACTATAAGAATACCCACTTTACAGATGAAAAACCTGAAGCTCCAAGATGTCCAATGAGTTGTACATGGTCAATGAAATCTTTATTTTATCTTAGAGTTAATGCGGAGTCATAGAAGCTTCTTGAGCAGTAAAGTGATATGGGCAGACTTGTGTTTTAGGAATATCAACTTGATAGCCATGCAGAAGATGGATTGGAGAAGGAAGAAATCCCAGAGGAAGAGAAGATGATTGCATGGACTAGGGTCTTTGTATTGTGATGGTGACAATTGCCAGGATTCAGAGGATTTACAGATTTAGGGCCAGAAGGGATCTGAGAGGCCACCACCCCATCTCATTTTCAGAGTAAGGCTCTGAGACTCTAGGAGGCTGATAACTTGCCTAAGGTCACTTACCCACATCCATAGTCTGTGCACTTTCCACTGCACCACATGTTACCACTAGGCAAGTATCCATTTGTCACCCGGAAGTTATCCAATAGGGAAAATTATTTGTTGAATTATGCTGGATGAAGAAGTTCAAGAAAGGTGTCAATACAGTCTTCTTGAGTTTGTCAATCAAGTGGTGAGTTCATGAGAAAAGGAAAGCCATGGGAAGCCAAAAGAAAATCCCAAGGAAGAATCTTTGTTGAATTTATCTATCTATCTATCTATCTATCTATCTATCTATCTATCTATCTATCTATCTATCTATCATCTATCTATCTATCCATCTATCTGCTTATTTATGTATTTACTCATTCATTTATTTATCCATTCATTCATTCACTTATTCATTCATTTGTTTACAGCAGTGCTTTTTAGTGCTCATAGAATGGAGAGGGGAGAGAATCAGACCATTGACCTTTCACGGTCAGGCTGGAGAGCTACTTTTGGAAAGTTCAGGAAAGAGAGCAGCAAACGCAGGCCAAGCAGCCTGGTAATGCATTTCCTGCAGGGTTCAATTACTCCTCTATGTAGATCATAGAACCAAATACCCGGCTGTCCTTGTTGGAGGGCAGGATGCTCCATAGATTTTTATTTTCGCAAAAATAGGCTCCAGAGGTTTTTGGCCTTACAGACAGCAGCTGGTGGCAGGCAATGCGATGGCCTGGGGGGCTGAGCTGCTGCTGGCGGGGGGAAAGCGGGATGGGTTTGCATGGGAGTCCCAGACTGCCAGGACAGCTTAAGCTACAGGTTTTAGTGTCTCTGCTACAAACAGACACTATTCCCTCCCCTCAGAATACAATCTGGAATGGTGTGTGTGTGTGTGTGTGCTGGGGGTGTATGTGGGGTGGGTATCATCAGCTCCTGCCACTTCATTGTCTCTTAGAGTAGGACACGGATGGGGGTTGGGGGACGGAAGGATAACAAGGGCCAGCAGCTGAGGGGAATAAGGTTGGGGGCTTCTTATACTCCTGGTGACTAGGAGCGTTGAGGTGGAGGCCAGATAAGATGAAGAGAGATCATCCCATTTTCAGCAAGTAACAGGATTTGGAGCTGATGGGGAGGAAAGGGGGATGTCAGCCAGTACTGTGTCAGACGGCTGAGATAATTCAGCAGGGGGTTTCAGTCTGAGCTACCCTTCGGTTCATCCCTCAGATACACATCAATCCCTCTCCTCGCCTTTAACTTGCAAGCCTGCCCTGATGAACTTCCCAGGTACCCCGAGTGTAGAGATAACGCAGGGAAGGCCAGTGAGGGGGAAGTTGTTTCTTTCATCCCAGACTCCAGCGGATGGGCCAGCTGTTCTCTTCTTCTCAGGGAGAAAGGGGTCTGGAGAGAAAGGGAGGACTGCAGGGAGTGGGGGTGGTAGTGAGGATGAGAAGGAAAGGGGTTAGCCCCCGCCCCACACACACATTCTGCCTTCTGGCCAGTCGGCCATCTAGTCTTTGACGCCCCTCTCCCCCTACCCCTTCCATGATGGTGAGAAAGAAGGGGGGGAGAGCAGAGCTCGCGAAGGGGAGGGAGGGCTGTAAGCAGAGAAGGGAGTGGGCGGAGAGGGGCTGACCCAGGCCAGCGCCCAGCCCCTGGTTGGCTCAGTCTGTCTCTTTAAACGCTCCGGAGGGGCTGCTCGGAGCGTGTGAGTTTCCATGGAGTCGGGAGCAGGCGGGGCTGCCGGAGCCGCTGCTCAGTGATCTATCCGCTCCAGTCGCTCCCGGCAGAGGCGCGGAGATTGGAGAGAGGAGGGCAGAGCTCAGGGACGGCGGAAAGCGGGCGGGCGACCCAGCAGGCGGCGGCCCGGGCGGCTCTGACGGCTGCCTCCTCTCCTTCCCTCCATCTGTCTGCCCCCCCCCCCCCGCCCCGCTTCACCTCCTGCCACTCGGTCTTCTGCCTTGGCCAGTGCCAGCCGCCCCCGCGAGCTTCTCTCTGTGCTGCCACCAGGCACCGGGCACGGGGCACCTAGGAACGTCTCTACGCGCCAGCCAAGTTCTGCCTGGCAGTCGGACCGGCCCAACTTGCCGGGCTTCCAGGCTCGCTCCCACTCCTCCCGGTGCCGCCCTCGGGCAGCAGCCAAGATGACCCCGTGGCGCCTCGGCCTTTGGTGCGTCTCCTGCTGGCTGGCTGCACTCTGGCCGCTGCGCTCCTGCCTGCAGCTGCGGAAGGGCATGTAAGTCAGGATGCCGGGCGGAGTGTCGCGGCACGCACCCCCACCCCACCCGGTCCCTCCATCTCGAACTCCTGGGGCCAGAATCCCAAGCGTACTAGACGCTCAAGCTAGCCCACTGAGGAGGGGAGTGAGCCCCTGGGTCCTCGGGGTCCCCGCACAAGCAGCTTGGGCTACTCCATCCCTTAGTAGTCCGGAGCGCGCGTGCCCAGCTGCTGGAACTCCTTCAATCCACAAGGGCTGCGGGGCTGCGGGGCTGCGGGGCTGCGGGAGGGAACTTGGACTGGAGGACCCCGGGAAGGGGTTGAGGAGAGAGCTGGGAAGGAGCCAGCGCCCCTCAGAGACTCGGGGCTAGGTAGGCTGGCTGTTTTCAGAGCAGACAGGTGCTGCTCCAGCAAAGCTCGCACCTTGGGAGTGTCCGCTTTTAAGAGCCTGATGGCCAGTGAGCAGGGGGAGGGGGAGGGGGAGGGAGAGCCAACCTGAAGACCCGGCTTTGTCCGCCACCCCTCCGAGCAGTGAGCTTCTTGACTTTCGCCTCAGCCTCGGAAGCGAACGGGTTCCATTCTTTAATCTCCAAGAGCAAGTTTTCATCCACGGAGATACTGCCTCGAAGGGGATAGAAATCTCAGAGCATCTTGAGAGCAGAGGCAGGTGGGATGCCACAGGTCCGATGGGCTGGGGAGGGGATCCCTGGCGGGCCAGGCTTGACTGAGGCTGTCCTGTAATAAGCTCAGGAGGAGCGAAGGACCCAGTGCACTGCCCGAGGAATGTCGTACTCGTCAGGCACTACGTGATGGTTTAGGGGACAGAGCAGAGCCCGAGAAAGGCTGCCCGTTGAAATGCATCAGCCTAGAAATGGAAGAGGTCTCATTTCCTGATAAGAAGTGATGAATCTTGCAACATATTAATTCCAGGTCAGGATGTGTCAAGTGGAGCTGGATGCTAATGGGGAGTGGAAGTATTTACAAATGACTAGGTCTCATCTAATGGCCACAGAAGGAGGTGTGTGTGTGTGTGTGTGTGTGTGTGTGTGTTCCTCCTGTGTTCCTCCCATAACTTGAGGGCATCAGAAATCTCAGTGCAAAGCTTGGGCAGGAAATTGTGCTTTTCCTTAGGCAGGAGTCTTGGTACATTCTACAAGCGATGTTGTTTCTTCTCTTGGACTTTGTCAGTTCGCACTGTGATTATGTAAATAACTTTGCTGGTAGTTTCTGAAATGCTGATTTTCTGAAGTGAGGATCAGTGTGTGTGTGTGTGTGTGTGTGTGTGTGTGAGAGAGAGAGCGAGAGAGAGAGAGAGAGAGAGAGAGAGAGAGAGAGAGAGAGAGAGAGAAAGAGAAAGAGAATCACTTGCTCATTCTCTGGGCTTTTTAAAGAAAGAGGATTTTTTTTCCCCTCCTAGTTCACTTTACATTTCCATATTTCATCCCTCTCATGAGAGATTCCATTTGTTACCTGGTTACTGCAATTGTCACCCATGATCAATCTCCCTAGACATGGGCAGAATGCCGGTGGCATCTCCAAACAACTTTCTCCCAGAATAGTTTGTAAATACACATTCCCCTGAGATGGCCAGGAAGGAATTTCTGTGTGTGTAACTCCTCTCCAATTGATAAGGCTTGTCTTGTTCATTTTGTGGAGACTGTTGCTTTGGATTTTTTCTCTGTTTATCTCAGAAAACATGTCTCCCTCTGTACACCCTCCGCATGAATGAGCTTTCACTTCTCAACTACCTGATTGTAAAAGGCAGTGGCAAGGTGCTGGGGAATGGGCCCCTTACCTTGGCAGGTGCTGCTATTGGAGCTGAGTCAGGATTCACTTATTCATTCCTCGCCGAGCTAAATACGGTCTCTGAGTCAGAATTGTCAGAGGGTTTATTAACAAAGGATGCAGGCTAGGGAAGTGAGAGGAGGCTGCAGCAGTGCCCTCATCTCTTTATCCAGGACCTACCTGTGTTTCCTGAACTTTCAGTGTTAGCAGTGTTTCTAAAAGGGCTGGAGGGATGACATGGCTTTTTTGAAGAGACTTGGCAGAAATAATGCCTCGGTAGGATTGAAGGCAGGAGGACTCTGTGCCCTCAGCTCATTATTAAGCAAGTGAGAAGGGCCGAGGGACTAAAACCCGAGAACCAACAGGGTGGTTAATAGAGCTACTATTTTTCTGATACTTACAGGGGCTGCAAGAGTGAGAAACAATGTTAAGCATCCATCCCTCTATTTCTCAGGACTTACTGTAGTTATTCACCAGAGACTGGGGTGGGATTTTGCTCCCTGTAGTCTGTGTTTGTTCCTGTTTCTTGCTTTTGCAGGAAGGATAAAGAAAGGAACCAAGTATATATCATTTGGCTTCCATGCAACTGTCCATCTTTTAAATTAAAATGAATCCTTTCCTAGTTTTTTTTTTTTTTATTGACCTCTGAGGTCCATTATCAGTGAGAGAAGGACTGCTAATGAGGTGAATACCACTAATGAGAAGGCATCATCTCACTGACTGGCACTCTTATAGATCACTAATAAAAAGTAAAAGTTTCATGCAGCGGACTGGGCTTGTGCTGAGAAGATAGTTGAAGATGTTGCAACTGATCCAAGCAAATTAAAGTTAGGCTTTCAGTGCATGGCAATATTTAATTTTGGTGGCCAATCTGTGTTCTGGGATCTGCCATAGGTCCCCCTAAATGGAGAATTTTACAGGAATCAAGAGTTTTTGAGAGGCAATGCAGGTCTTGGGTAGTGAGCTGTCCTTGGAGTTAGGAAGAACTGGGCTCAAATTCTTCCTTCCTTATACACTTACTAGCTGAGAGTCACTTAAGCATCTGTATGAAATAGAGATGATAGGAAAAGTAGAAATTTACTTATAGGATTTTTGTGTAGCCTAAATGAGCTAATGTATGAACAGTGTTTTGGAAACTTGAAATCATTGTGTGGATTTTAGTTATTGTGAACAATCAAATTAGGAGAAGGGAAAAAGAGCTCTCCTCTGGAACTTTGGGCCTGGAAAGATGACACGTGAAACTGGGGCAGTGTGATTAAAAGAGGGTAAGTTTCAGTTCATTGGAATGAAAGCGTGATGACAGCTTAGGTAACTGTTGGTCTTTAAGCAACAGGCTTTGATATTAAGGTCCAGAAAAGCAGTTCCAGGGACTGGGGGACCAGCCCGGGAATGTGTAACCTTGGGAATTTAAGTGGCCCAACCTCAATGTGACTTATCTTGTTTTTAAACAGACTATAAGCTTTTTCTCTGGTCCTTTTGCCTGGTTCTGTCCTCTTACTCCATTCTTTCCAAGGGCAGAGCTATTATTCCTTCTGGGCATTGGGGGTGGACCTTTTTGTGTGGATTCAGAAGTAGAGGAGGAAAAGCAGCTGATAAAAATGATGCCAGGCAGATTCCTAAGTAGAGCTGATCTGCCAATGGGGCGGTCCTTCCTACCAAAAATAGAAAAAAAATGTCTTTCCCTACCGCTCCACTTACACATTTTATTAATCCCCATTTGTCACAAGTCTGGGATTTGAACAATTAGTTATTCATTTGGGTAACTAAGAATCCTTCTTTTAAAACATGGACATGCCTCCTGGGAGAGGCAGGAGGTGACAAGTCATTCAAATGTTAGTGTGAATGAGTTTAATCAAATTATTTTCTTCCTGACAAATAACAGTTGAAGATACTCTGTGTTGAGAAAATAGGAGTCTTGATGGGAGGAGGAGTGGGGAGGAAGTTTGGTAGCTTTGGAGCCAGCTAACTTAGAGAACTGGCTGCCCAAGGACCTAGGATAAAAAGAGCCTGGGATGGAGGAGAGGGGTGCTAGAAGGAAGATGGGAAATTGCCAAGTATACATTTTTGCATTCTTATTTTAAAACTTTCCCTGGGGTCTAGACCTTAGCCTAAGATAATGGAGGAAAACCACTCATTTCTTTTCCTCCTCTTGTACCATATGGAGGCCTTCTTTTAAGAACTAGAACTCAGGACGCTATAACATAGAACAGCTCTGTGTTGCTTAAGTTGGCTTTTGTTGGCTGACCTGGAGAAATAAACTCAATTGTTAATAATGTCGGTATGAGAAAATTCATCCTAGCCTCTGAAAGACTGGCTTAGATTTGAACTTTCTAAACATAGCCCATCCATAAGTTAGAGACTGCCTGTATTTATTTTATGAGGCTATCACATAAAAATTGTTGATATTTTGCTAAATCTCCTCATTTTGGAAGGAAAAAAAGCAAACCACCCTAAAAGATAAACTATGAAAAATGCATGAGAGTTTATAGATCTTAAGTGCAAAGTCGGAAAAAAAAAATGAGTAAATTCCTTGAAGGCAAGAATTATATTGTCTAAAATTCTTTAAAGAGCCATTAAGGGTTTATTCTAATCCTAAATACCCAAGAGGGCTTCAGAAATAGTGATAGTGATAGTGATGAAAGCATGTTTGGTGATAGAGTAGCCCCAAGCCCTTTTACTATATAAAGTAGGCTTTCCACATACAAGTGATGTGGATTATCAGCCCATGTCCTAGCAACCATCTTTCAGGGCCCATCAACTTCGTTTTTTTTTTCTTTTTAAAAAGATATTTATTAATTTTAATTCATTGATATATTTTGTCTTGACAAAACTGGAATTTATTAACTAACAGTCAAACAAACACCCTTAAGAATAAGGATCCCAAAGAAATGTTTTTTTTCTCCCTTCTGAAATTAACAAAAAGAACTATGTCCTTCAAATTTGGCAATGTGGTACTAACACTGACCACTGTATGTGTATTTCATTTCTTCCTTGTATTGACTTTATTTATATGGTTTTAGTCAGTGTTTATTTTGTTATATTGGCTTTACTCTATATATTCTGTATCAGTTCACATCTTTCCATTTTTTTTTAATTCTTCAAATTCCTTTTTCATTCCTTATAGGAAGGGGAAGTGTACATGCATTCATTAAGTACCTACTATGTGCCAGGCACTTTGTGAATATTATTTAATTTGATCTTCACAATAACCTTAGAATAAAGATGTTATTATTA